TTGAAGATGTACATGTAAGATTTCCCTGCTTAGCTTTAACTACAATAATAACTATAAGTTACCCTTTCCAGTACATCTTTCTGTAAGTCTTTTTTGAGGACTCTTTAAAATTTAACTAAACAAGCCCAGACTTATTACTGCCAATGTTCTAGGTGTTTTGAACAGAGCAAGCCCGACCCCCTTCACCACGTTTCACTGTCATTTTGCCATCAGATATTAAGTAGTTTTACTTAGCATTATTTTTATCTATCTAGCAAAAATTTCAACTTATATTTTTAACAGGTACATCTGTATCTTGAAAAATCCTCACTATCTCAATAGGAGTCAGCCTACCTAGGCCCATGACCAGGTGGTGAATTTCCCTGGTTTCCAGGGCTGACAGAGAGCCCTGCTTCATGCTACAATGGGCGACAAAAGTGTCAAGACACTTGGCAGTAAAATTCGATTTTCGAGAGTCTTGGAAACATTTTGCCCCCCTTTTCCCCCAAACAATGTTGATATTTCTATTTCTTAGACTGCACAGACCACAGCGCCTACACAACATTGAATTGGGGGGCCAAGGGTATCAGAGAATTAACGCTAGTTACAAAAAAAATAGAATAAGTGCTTAAATATCAAAAAGCTTCATTTTCTAAAAGTGTCTCAACTACTTTTGTCGCCCATTGTAATCTTTGTGTTGTACTTAAGTGCCGCCATACATTAGCATTGTCCTGTCGAGTTTCAGGTACATGAGGACATCGGGTATGAAAATATAGTTGACATGTGTGTCCTAGTCCTAGTTATTTCATCTGTTTGTTTTTATTTCGTGTTGTTGTCTCTATTTCTTTTTTATACTAAAGTTATTTCAAGACCTCCCTAAAAGCTAACCCGAGGATCTGAGAGGACCTCTCTCTAATTATATGTGACTGGATACAAACATAAACACATAAACATATGAAAACGGTTTCAATGGAAAGCATATTCCTTTGCAGCAACTGAGCTACATTCTTTGATTTTTCGTCTCCT